TCTTGATGCTTAATGGCCTGTCATGCCTTGGCATTCGCATTCCGTGCTCACCACTCAAAACGCCGCGTGTTTTGAGTGCTGAGCGCTTTTTTTTTTTGACTTTATTTTTGCTTTTCTTTTACTAAAAAAAATGTATGCTACCTCAAATTCTTAATATGAAAAATAGTTTGATATTCAATTTAATCTTAAATATAATATCTTAATCTCCTTTGTCTCTTATATATATTTATTTTTTTTAAGATAGTTCTTGTAATAATTAGACATGTTAAAGATTAAATCAATTGGTGGTTCTAATTAACACAAATGATTAGTAAAAGGTATTTTACAGAAAACATTCCCTATTTATTACAAATAACTAATTTAGATAATTTTTTAATATACTTAAATCAGTCAAACTAACTTTTATATTAAAGAGTAGAAGAAGTATGTATTAAAAATATTTTGGGTTAACATTTTTCTAGTACTTTAAAATATTTTTTTAAAGTGTTTTCAATATCTTAAAGTATTTTATGGTTTATTTAGTACCTTAAAATATATTTTTTCAAGTGCATTTAATGTCTTAAAAATTTCTATTTTGTGATATTGTATCACAAATACTTTAGAATGCTGAAAAATATTTCAGAATACTAGATAAATCATAAATGACTCTAAAATACTACACGCTGAAATATTTTTTAGGTAGGCCCAGTCACAAAGTATTTTAGAATGATGAACGCATATGAAAAAATGTTTAGAGTATTAAATGGACCGCAAAATACTTTAAAATACTGAATTCTTAAACATTTTTTCAAATGCGTTGTCATAAAATACTTTAAAACACTAAATACACATGAGAAAATATTTCAGGATATCATAAAATACTTTAAAGCATTAAATATATCTAAAAAATATTTCAGAGTACTAGATAAATCTTAACTAAAAATAATTCTAATACATATTTTTTTTGTACTGAAAATTTTTTTTAAAAAATAAAGGCACTGCTCAGCACTCAAAACGTCCATGTTTTGAGTGCTGAGCACGGAATGCGGATCCCATGCGGTGCCATGTATGCTTAATGGTCTTTTTTAATAACTGATCGAAAGGAAAGATAGAGATATGAGCAAAATCAATTTGGGTGCTCAATCCAGATATAAACATATGAACAATAATAGAAATATTTCCTCCTTTACTTTTTATAAGAGACAATTGTGGAGTAGAGCATGTTTCTCTTTATGAGGAACATTTAAAGGTTGTCTTAAATTTTGTTTGTTAATTTCCTATTTTACTTCGACTTATATTAGTCATATAGTTGCAATTCATTCCCATATATTCTTTCTTTCACATAAATGAGGGTATTTTTTAATTAAAAAAATTGTTTTTACATATTTATTGTATTTAACTAATTTAATTTTAACTAATATTTCAAGCAACGTAATTTGAGCAATTGTCTCTTATAAAAAAGAACAGAAGGAAAACTATTTAGTACTCCCTTCGGTATTTATTATAAGAGGTTACTAGCTAATTCAACCGTACTAATAAAAATAATTAAAAGTAGTATTAAATTTGTCATAAAACTTAAGTTATTTCTAATATTAACACCATTAACTACACTAAATTCCAAATTTAAATTGTCGATGGTTCATTATTAGAAAACACCTTAAGGTGTTATTTCAAGATACCTAGATTGAATAAATCTCCTTGAAGGAGCCATCAATTATACTACCTCTCATACTTATAAATATAAGAATTAGATAACTAATTTAAAAAAATTAAAAAAATATTTAATTTAATTATTTATGATAAATTTAAAATACTTCTATTAGTCATGTGCATTAGAATCATCTTTTGATGAAAAATCTTTGAACATGTGCAATCATTATGAGGATTAATTAGAGACAAAATAAATAAATATTGAAGATAAAGTGCATTGAGTTCTTATATTCAGAACTAAATTAAATATCTAACTAGCTCTTATATTAAATACTGGAAGTAGTAAACACTAACCAGCAGAACTTTACTTTTTTTATACATCTCAAATTTAAAAGGTTATTTTCACTTGATGGTTGAACGTTCCAATCACTTCTCAATGAAGGATAGAAGACAAGCACAGGAAGAGAAGCCAGACACGTAAGTTGGCCGTGGATGGTCACCCGATTTTTCATATTTGAAGAAAAAGAAAAAAGAAATGTGAGCATTATTCATTGCCTAATTCTGTTATATTTGTGGAATGAACAAGGAGACTTGGTCAAAGTCTCTCGTTGTGATAGTATCTGTGTACCTTTTAGTTTAGAAAATACAAGTAAAGGAGGAGCACTTAAATTTTTGTATGTAAATATTAAAGTCAAAAAGTTATTAAATTTTATGCTAAAGTATACATTTGGTTTTTTAACTTTATATAAAGTTTCACTTTGGTCCCTTAACTTTAAAAAGCATACTTTTAGTCCATTCACCACAGTTTTTCCACCATACTAAAAACTGGATTGATTGGTTAATCAGAGAGGTAAACTCAGATTGAAATTGTATGTAGATGCATGAAGGATTAAAGTTTGAGTCTAAATTTTGTAGAAAACAACTGTAATGCCGCCATTGGAAAACAGATGCACAGAAGATTAAATCTAGCTAGTCACCAAAAACTGGAAAACATGAACTAAATTATATTACCCCCAATGCTTAATATAAGACATAACTAACAAATTTGGATAGATGAAAAAAGTTACTAGATTACTTATTTATAACATATTATATAATTTCTCTAAAATACTTATGTGTGTGATTAGATTATATATTAATTTATAAGTGAGGCCAATCAGTTGGTAGAGAAAAACGATAAATATAAATACTTTAAAATAATTAGTTTAGTAACTTCATTAATCTTCTCAAATTAATCAACTAGATCTTCCATATAAGGACCGGAGGTACTATTTGGTAGTTTCTTATTCTAGTTACTTTTGAAAATCTTGTGGTAGTTAATTGGAATGCAAGTTAGTATTGGCCATCCGATTCTCTTGTTTGAAGGAAAACATGATTAAAACTTTGAGGAGCATTCATTGCCTAATTCTGGAGTGGAATTAATGATCGAGTATGAGACTTACTGGTCAATGAGTCTCTCACTTTTGTTGTGCTTGTGAAACTTAATCTTTAATCTCTTAAATGCTTATAATAATGACCTGCTCTGTCATGCCATGCAAACGAGTCTTCGTCAAAGTCTTCTAAGAAGTCGAAGATAGAGATATAATTCCGAAGACTTTGAATTGTCCAAGTCTTCTGTTATACGTGGTCCACGAAAAAAAAGTCTTTTTTAATAATTGTAGATATCCTTTGTCTTCGAGCTAGCTCTTGAGGCTTAATAAGATGCCGTGTCATGCCGTGGGCAACCAAGTCTTCGTCAATGTCTTTTCTTAATAGTCGAGGTAAGTAGAAATTATACTGGAAGGGGTATTTGAAGATCCCCAAAAAAAAAAACACCTGTTAAATTTTAAATGGACAAATAAGTCATACTGAATATTTTTGTAATAAAGGCTTTTAAGAGTCCAAAATAACTATAAAATATCTAAGTTAAATTCACAATTATTATGTGGTGATGATGGTCCAACCCTATTCAAGCCCCACCAAGAGAGATATTGGGGTGATGCAAATATCTTCTAGTGCAGGATAATGAGTATAAATCCCCAAGACTTTGATTTGTCCAAGTCTTCTCTTATAATGTGTAGCGTTAATAGCCCTCATATATCCCTTGTCAGTACTAGGTGAAATAATTTATTTTAGTTAATTAGTGCATCTGCAACATAAAATTATTAATAAAATCTTAAATTATTAGAAAATAAATAGCTAATTTTGGCTTATATGTAAGAGATAAATATATGAAAGAAGTTTTGTCTCAACTTATGACACCACGTGATTATGAATGCTTATGATCGTGATTCTAATCAAAACCGAATTTGTCATTACGCACACGCTTGGAATCATAGAACTAAAAACATAAGTAATAAAAGCCAAATCTCAATTACTAAATTGTTGGAACTTAGCATATATAAGTTCATATTATAAATCCCTTGTCTATATATTAGCTTTCCTGATCATATCAGAATGCACAGAATTATCACCATCATATGGTAAGTAGTGACTTGATGGGTAATGCTTTCCTTTTGAAACATTATTATTATATATCCCCAAGACTTTGATTTGTCCAAGTCTTCTCTTATAATGTGTGGCGTCTGTAGCCCCATATATCCCTTGTCAGCACTGGATGGAATAATTTATTCCACTTAATTAGTGCATCTGCAACATAAAATTGTTAATAAAATTTAAATTATTAAAAAATAAGTAACTAATTTTAAATCCGTTTAAAATGACTTATACACAGCTTTTCAATCATGACTTACAGAATACAAAATAAGCATGTGAGAGAAGTTTTATCTCGACTTGAATAATACGTGATTATAAATGCTTGTAATCGTGATTCTAAACAAATCCAATTTCGTCATCGCACACACGCTTGGAATCATACAACTAAAGACGTAAGTAATAAAAGTCAAATCCCAAGTACCAAATTGTTGGAAGACAGCATACATATGTTCATGTTATAAATACTTTATCTATATATTAGCTTTGCTGATCATATCAATTATCACCATCATATAATACGTAGTGCTTAAACGATGGGTAATGCATTTCTTTTGAAACTGGCATTATTATTATCTGCCTTCGCTCTGGCGGTGGCGGCGGCGGTGACCGCGGCGGCAGATTGCAATAGAAAGTGCGGGAACGTGGACATCTCTTATCCCTTCGGCATGACGAAGGACTGCTTCAAAGACCCTGATTTTCAAATAATCTGCAGCTCTTCTTCCTCCGGACAGCCTATTCCATACCTAGCAAGTGGGGAAGACGACACCGTGCAGGTTCTCAACATCTCTGGGGATAATAGTGAGATTCTTGTCTCTATGCCTGTTCTTGATGTTTGCTATGATCCCAAAGAAATCTATAATAAGTTTCTGTGGGGTTTTGAGTTGCCTCTCAAGTTTGTTATATCCAATACAAAGAACAAATTCAAGGTAGAGGGGTGTAATACCTACGCTTTCCTCTATGACCGGAAAGGAAAAAGCCTTCACGGCTGCAACACGAGATGCGATAACCGGAGTTCAGTGGCCGATGAGTGCCAGAGTGCTTTGGAGCAAGCCGTTGGAAATTATACCATTAATATGGTATTTTACAGTACTAATGCGTCTGATGACTATGCTCGTTGCAGTTCTGCATTTGTTGAGAAGAACGAAACTCTCAACCCCGTCGTCGACGGCAACCTCAAGGAGCGAAGAGAAAGTAACAGATCTAAGGTAATTCTCGATTGGGCAGTTGATCAGAACAAATCATCATGCCGTGGAGCCTGCAAAAGTGATAATGCGGAATGCGAAGAATCAGAAAGTGTCAGTGGCTATTACTACTGTAAATGTGAAACGGGGTTCAAAGGCAACCCCTACACCGCGGGTGGCTGCAAAGGTAATTATGAAAATTTTGAGGTTTTAACCCAACACTTTTTGATTTTTTTTAAATGATTTTCTTGGGGCTAAAATAGAATAGTACCCTCTCTTTTTTTAAACCTCTTTTCTTTTATTTTATTTAGAAGTAATTTTGTGGAACACGAGGCCAGTATATGAGGAAGTTTTATTTCGATCTATATGAAACAATTTCCTTAAGTACTTACGGAGTTTGAAGCCTCTAATGCCCTACGGATTTGGAGTGTTTGCCGCACCTTCTTTAGGGCTCCTAAATTTTCTTCACTTCTCAAATATTTTTCTTGTTTTCTTTGATCGCTAGATTTGATATGTCATGAGCCAAAAAAAAAAAAAGGTACAATTTTCAAAAAAATTTATGATTTTTCAAAGAAGATATTCTAAAATTAATGTAGTTTTTTTTAATTTAGATGCAAATTTTTTGAAAAATCATAAAAAATGAAAATTGCACTATTTTTTATGACATATCAAAATGTCACTGATTTCATGTAAAATCTAATAATTAGAAGGAAAAAAAAGCATTTGGCAAGTAAAAAAAAAATGTAAGGGGCATTAGAAACCCCAAATCCAACACTCCACCTTTTTTTTTGTGCTCTATATTTCCTGCTTTTCTAATAACTGTTTGAAGAAAAGCGAGCAAGAGGATCATGTTATCGTTTGAAGAGTTTGAGGAAGTGTTGTTTCATTGTAGCGATGAGTAGCATGGCATTCATTATATAGTAGCATGGGGAAGTGTTGTTTCATTGTAGCGATGAATAGCATGGCATTCATTATACAGTAGCATGGCACTTATTATTGCAATGAGTACTGAAAGTGATTCCGTTCAAATAGCCCTCTTACTTTGATAGTTATTATATACTCCCTCCGTTCCTTATTATAAGAGACGAATAACTAATTTACGTTGATCAAAAAAACAGTTAAAATTAGTTAAGAACAATCAATGTGTAAAAAGTATAATTTTTTTTCCAAAACTGCCCTCATTAATAAGGAGAGAGAGCATGAGAGAGAACAATTAAATTATTAAAAGAAAGAGAAGTGGGAGAGAGAGAGTGTGTGAGTTGGAGACAATAAATATGGGTAAAATAGAAAATTAACACAAAAAAGTAGAGACAACTTTTAAGTGTCTCTTATATATAGGAACATGCCATAAGCATCAAATGTCTCTTATAATAAGAAACGGAGGGAGTAGTTTATGTTGTATTATATTAACAAATGAATCAAATCTTTTGTAATCTAACTGGTGGTGGGCACAAATCCCATTTTTACCTCATTGGTCTGAAAAAATCTAGAGAACAAAAAATCAGACCAAACTGTATGATTTAACTGGGAAACTGCTGAACCAATTAGTGATCCGGTTTGGTTTGGATGTTGAACCGGAAAGGAGTTGAACCAGTAGTGAACTGGTAAAAATTGGTGTGAACCAATAATGAACCAGTTTGGATAATTATATTGTTATTGGTCCTATTTTTTTCCTCATTTAGCTCCTAATATCTTAGCCTCTTATAGATTTAAATGAGTTTTAATATAATTTTGATATCAATAATTATTAATTTTAGTTAACGATGAACTATAAAGATCAAAATTCTCAATATTGTTATACTTTATTATTATTATAATCAAACTATTATTATATTTCCTTATATGTTATTATTAGTGATTATTAATGTTATTATATTTTGTTATTTTCAAGTCAATTATATTATTTTAATATCACCTATTGAACCCTGATTAGACTAACTGACTCTTGAATCATTATCTCAACTGGTTTAATATCCGATCCAATTTTTTGTTCTTTAAAAAAATCATAATAAGCTTCGGCACAACGATAGTGGCGGTGTTTTCTTTGCTTTTGCTTTTCAAAAGTAAATAGCTAACAACATTGTTAAAGCGCACACATTTCAAAAGTTCGTTTTAACCAAAAGTGTTGATTTGATATTTTAAAATTCAGAATTTTAAATAATATTTATTTATCTTTTTTCCTTTAATTAAGCCAGTGCTATAAGGTTATTTTTTCACAGGGTTAATTGTGGTATGATGTGTACGTAATTTCAGATGTGGATGAGTGCCAGCACATCAACCTAAATAATTGTTTGCATAAGGATCGATGTCACAATACCCCTGGTGGCTACACATGTTCTTGTCCACATGGACAAAAAGGCAATGGCCGCCGTAATGAAACTGAACCAGGCTCAGGCTGCAGCACTACTGGGCCTAGCCTTATAATTCCATTAGGTAAGCATTTAGATCTATTAAAAACGGTTTTTTTTAATTTGACTTGATTTGGAATTGAATTGCTATATATTTTTAAAATTAAATCCTAATAATTTTTTCAGTTATAGTTATATTAATACTTTAGCAAATCATTATTCATGACAATTCCATCTAAAATTGATATTGCACTCTTATTTAGTAACACGTATTTAAGGTATCAATCTACTTGATTGCTAAAATTTATAACCTTTTTTTTAAATTACTTTCATCAATTGCAAATATATTAAAGAGCAGCTTTGAATGTAAATAATTTAAAAATATGTTTTAAAATAACTAAGTCAACCAAAACAATTTTTTAATATCTGTAAATTAATTATTAAGTTTCAACATTAAACAAAAATGTATGTATTGAACATTAAGTATAGGGAGAATTATCATGATGTCTCAATGAGAAAATTTCATCACCAAAAATTGTAATAACAAGTGATAAACATGAACATGTTGTCATTTTTTGCCATAGAGCTTATCATTACATACTCTTCAATTATCAATAGATGTTAGGGTAATTAAATCTCTTTTTTAGAACCTGATTGCAATTCTCCCTTAAGTGTGTATATATATAAGTCAATATTTTTATTTTTTAGGACATGTAGATACTAAACTTGAAAGTTTTCCCCCTCATCCAAATTGAACAAATTGGGTGTTTTTCTCAAATTAAATTGAAAAAATAACCAAAAAAATAAAAATATACCAAATATAATTTAGTTTCTAATTTTAAAAATAAACTATTTTCAAAAAATTTCAAATATTTTGTAAAAGTAATGGGATAACAGTTTGTTTTAACTATATTCAATTGGACAAAATCTGTGCTGCCAACTTCAAAGGTCAAACCATTGTTTATTTCTTTGCAGTTTATTTAGCATTTTGTGCTGGAGAAAATGATTAGACATGCGCATAGGACTAGCATCTTCACACTTTTCAAATCAAATTTCGAAACTTCTTTCAAGAAAAACTCACATCTTGAACTCTATACTTGTAGTTGTTACTTTAGCTTTGCTGGGCGTCTTCACACTTGTCTCCACATTATGCTGGGCACACAAGCAAAGGAATCTGATGCAACTCAGACGGAGAAATTTTGAGCAAAATGGAGGAAACTTGCTTCTACAACAACTTTCACAACAACAAGGATACACTGACAGAACCAGAATATTTACAGAAGTTGAGCTTAAGAATGCCACAAACAACTTTGATGAAAGCAGAATTCTTGGTCGTGGAGGACAAGGCACAGTTTATAAAGGTATATTGCCAGACAACACAATTGTTGCAATTAAGAAGTCCAGAGTTGGAGGGGATCCCCAAAATATTAAAAGTTTTATCAATGAAGTGTTTGTGCTTTCCCAAATCAACCACAGGCATGTGGTCAAACTTTTGGGATGTTGTCTTGAAACTGAAGTGCCTTTGTTAGTGTATGAGTTTGTAGACAATGGAAGCCTTCTTGATCACCTAGCCCCATCAAAAAATGAACGCTCTATCACATGGGAGACTCGATTAAGAATAGCCACAGAAACTGCTGAGGCCATTTCGTATTTACATTCTGCAGCTTCTATTCCAATTATCCATAGAGATATCAAGTCTGCCAATATACTTTTAGATCATAATGATAGAGCAAAGGTATCTGATTTTGGAGCTCAAGTTGCCACTGTGGTTCAAGAAACAATAGGATACTTGGATCCTGAGTATCTTCAAACAGGTCAGTTGAATGAGAAGAGTGATGTTTATAGTTTTGGAATTGTGCTTATGGAGTTACTCACTAGACATAAGGCTTTTGAATTCAATACATTGGCTAGTCATTTTGTGTCTTCAATGAGAGAAGATCGCCTATGGGAGATTCTTGATAGGCAAGTAGTCGACCAGAAGAAGAATGCAAAACAGTTGAAAGAAGTAGCCTTATTGGCAAGCAGATGCGTTAGGGTTAATAGAGAGGAAAGGCCAACAATGAAAGAAGTAGCAATGGAGTTACAAGGTCTAATGGCAATGGAAAAGCATCTTCAAGAGAAGGACAAGGATATGATGAAAGCAGAAGAAAGTGAATACTTATTGGGCCATCGCCCTAATGATGGATATGAGAGTGCCGGTGCTGGCTTCTCAGTTGCTAGCCATGATAGCATACAAAAGCAAGTAGCATTTGAGATTATAGATGGTGGGCGATGATCTTATACTGTATTCTTAACTGTGTTCTGTTTCTACTTTTCTAGGGGATTTAAAAGTTGTGGGAGTCGTACAATAGAAGGTGATAAGAACCTACCTAGTAATTTGTATGCAATTAGTTCCTATAAGTTGCAAATTTAATTTTCATATATTTTATGTGTGTGTGGCTCTTGATACTTGTCTTTTTAGTCTCATAATCTACTCTTTAAGTTAAATAACTAATTTGTAGAGAAATCAATAACATTACTTAAGTTAATTAAGTGTAAAAAATATATGTTGATTTTCTTAAAGTATATCTTTTACTTATTTGTATTATAATTTATGCTCTGGATGAAAAACTCCTTCAATATGTATAATTAATTGAAAGAGTTTAAAAAAATTACAAGTTTAAAGAAAAGAAGACTGAAATTTTATATTGAGAAAAAAAGTTCAAAATAGAAGAAAAATGATAGCTTCCGCTGGTGATCATCATCCAGCAAGCCTTCTTAGATCTTTTCGCATTATTTTTAGCAATTAGTTTAAATATAAATTATGCCATTATGCAGGTTTTAAGGTCAAGGAAAAGAAAAAAGGCCCTCTGGTCAAAAAAGAAAAAGAAATAAATATATAAATAAGGGGCGATTCTATTTATTTTATTTGAGAAATAACACTTGGGGGATTCTAATAAACTAAACATTACTTAAAAACCAATCTGATTAGATTTTGAATTTTGATACTAGTAGTTTATAAATAATATCTTATAATTAGGAGGGATAGTATATGTCTTTACTTCCGCATCAATATAAATGATAAATATGGCTTTCACTTTTCTTTTATGAGGGGAAAAAAAAGGTTAGATGTTCACAACCAAGTCCCTTCAAGATAATAAACAGAGTAGGAAACGCCCAAAGAAATAGAAAGGATTAGCGTGGGAACGACTGTCCCAGGAGAATCATCAATCATAATCGAGTCCCCGAGTAGCGGCATCCTCCAAAATCGTAAGAGGCTGGAGAGACGTAAAACCTAAACCCCGGACGATCGACCAAAGCTTACCGGCCACTACGTTGCTTGTACGAAGGACATAATCGTTATAGCCTGCATTGAGGTGTTCGAATTGTTATCCAGAGGGCAGAGAGGATTCACGAAGTCAACAATTGCTCTCATCTGACTCAACATACCCCTGACATCATTTTCTTGAACTCTTCGTTGTTGCCAATTTCCCTTCTCCATTGATCTCGATACCATTGTTCCTCTCTAAGCTTTCATCCCATTCCTTCCACACCAGTCCGCTATCTCCTACGTTGCCTTTCTCGAAAGGCTCCGACTTTGTTTGATTCCGACGCTATCGCACTGCTGGTATGTTGTTTTTCTCCGACTGTGTTGGTAGTGAAAAACCCTAATTGACCATTGTTTGATTCGCTAAAATATTGTTTTCTCTTTCTTAATTCTTTGTTAAGCATACACTAATGTCACCTCAACTTATAAAATTAAATGCTAATCATTATCATGGTCATCACATCAACACACTAGCTTTTATTTAAAAAAAAATTAAATGAAACATTACAGATCACGCTACCATATTTAATTATTGTTGATTTGTTGTCTTCATTGAATGCCACCGAGGTCTTGAAAAATCTGGAAAAACCAACCTTCTTTAATTTTATTCTTACTATCTCATATATTTTTCTTATTCTATTCATAAGATATTTTTAATATATTTTATTAATAAAAAATTAAATATCATTAACTCTATCTTAAAATTTAATAACTTTCTAAATTTTTTTTTTTGGATAACAAAAGAGACTTCATTAAGCTTCCACAAGATCGCTATCAATATTTCCGCGATCTAGAGCCAAAATTAAGTCTAACTCCCTTGGAACATCAGTAATAATATGAAAACCCCGGGGGGCATTGAGTCCCTTTTTTGCGAGAAGGTCTGCAGCCTTGTTGCACTCCCTAGTGGTATATTCAACTCTCACGTTCCAGTTCCGGTTGAGAAGTTCTCTTATTTCTACCAGGGTGTTGTAATCTTCATGGCATTCATCAGGGTCAACGCTAATCAGTTCGATGACATTTGATGCGTCAGATTCAAGGATGATATTGCGATGCCCAGCAGTCCAAGCGATCTTGAGACCGTACCAGTAGGCCCATAGTTTGGCAGACATTGCATCTCCTCCTTCAAGTTTACCAATGAATCCACTGAGGAAATCACCAGTCATATCTCGAATCAGTCCTCCCCAAGCACATGAGTTGGTGATGGCCGAGAAAGCACTATCCACATTAAGTTTGAGCCATTCATGTTTCGGCAGCTGCCATTTATCCACAGCAACTAAAGGTCGTAATCCTTGGAGGGGGGCCACCAAGGTGTTTTTGAACCTTATGCAAATTGCTAATAAGAGCCTGGGCCTTAGCAATGATAGACTCATTGCTCACCTGTTTGCCTTCAAAGATTGCTAGGTTCCTCCGTTTCCATAGCCACCAGCAGATCACCGCGAACAGAGCATTCCATTCTCTGTTGTCCCCACTCGTTGTAATAACATTCCAGCGAAACCACTCGTCAAAATTAAGGGTGCAGAACTTGTGCCATACCTTTGCTGGAACCAGCTTCCTCCACAAACGTTTAGTCTCATGGCAGTCTCGAAACACATGGATCGCATCTTCAACTGCTCTTTTACATATGGGGCAACATTCATCATTACTTAAACCTCTATGACAGCACGTTACATTAGTTAATAAGCTCTTTCTTGCTGCAAGCCACATCAAAGTTCTACACCGTTTGGGCACTCACATTTTCCAAATCTTCTCCCAAGATGGTTCTGTGCTCACCTTCGAATGAGTGAGCAGGGTATAGGCAGACTTCACAGAGAACTTCCCACTTCTATCATGCTTCCATCTTACAGTATTATCGTCCTGAAAACGGTCTATTCCCTCTTCCACTTTCTTCCAAGTAGTTTTAATTCCAGCCCAGACATTGGAACCACCTCTCTCAGTATCAATGATTGGAAGTAAATCATTCCCACACCTGTATTTATCTCGAACCACACGGACCCAGAAGTCATCTCGACGCGTGACAAGCTTCCATCCTAGTTTCATAAGATGGGCTCGGCTCTGCAGCTTAGCATGTCGTAACCCCAGTCCTCATCTAGTCTTTGGTTTACACACCAAATCCCATGCCACTAGAGAAATCTTTTGGGCAGCCTCTGTACCTTTCCAAAGAAAACGCCTGTTAAACTTGTCAAGAGTCTCACGAGTATTCACCGAGAGAAGAGAAGTATGCATTGAGTAGCATAGAATGGCTGAAGTGACTGAAGTGATCAGTGTAGAGAGTCCTGCAAGAGAGAGTGAACTCGTTTTCCAATCCATCAGTCGAGTCTTCACTCTATCAATAACATCTTTGAAGGAATCATGACTAACACGCTTATAATGCAGCTATACCCCAAGATATTTACCCAAGTCAGCTGATTGAGTAAACCCCAGCGAGTTACTAATTTCTGAGCACCTGTTGTGATTCATGTTAGTAGAAAAGAATACACGGCTCATAGAAAAATTTACCTTAAGCCCAGACCAGTGACAAAAGGCGTCAAGACAATTTTTGATCAGACCCGCTCGTTCTAATAAAGCCTCTAAAAATAAGATAATATCGTGTGTAAAAAATAGATGAGAAATGGGAGGACAATTCTTGGTTAACCGAATTGGCCTCCATTCCTTCATTTGCATTTTCTCCTGAATAAGATGAACTAGTTTTTTCATGCAGATAACAAATAAATAGGGAGAGACTGGATCCCCTTGACAAACCCTTCTAGAAGACTTGAACAAATCAACCTTGTTGCCATTCCATAGGAGTTGAAATTCAGCAGTACTAATGCAACAGGATATGATTTCAATAAAGTGTGATGGAAATTTTAGCTCTTGCAGGCAGTCAATTAAGAAATCCCAATTAACTCTATCATAGGCTTTCTCAAGGTCTATTTTAATGGCCATAAAACCCTTCTTACCCCTCATAGTGCGCATAGAGTGGATCACTTCCTGTGCTGCAATAATGTTATCTGAGCTATGCCATCCAAGAACAAAACTACATTGGTTTGGAGAGATAATACTTGGCATCAAGATTTTCATTCTATTGGCCATAATTTTCATCACCACTTTGTAGACAACATTGCATAAACTAATAGGCCTTAGATCCCTAAAGCTCTCTGGATGTTCTTTCTTAGGAATCAAAACAATCAAGGTGCCATTAACTGCCTTAATTTCATGGGGGTTAGCAAAGAGGTGCTTGATAAGGAGGACAAGTGATCTTCCCACAGTTTTCCACTGATTTTGGCTAAAAAGGGCATTAAAACCATCCAGTCCTGGAGATATCAACGGTCTCATATTAAAGATAGCTTCTCTAATCTCAGCTTCATCAACATTTATGCTGCAACATCTTAAATATATCTTGTCAATTGTAGGAAAACTGACATCACACTTCATCACCTCATGCACGGTAACATCTTCGGTGAAGAGATTTGAGAAAAAGGAAGTAGCTTCAAGTTTAATTATTTCAGTATCATAGCACCAATTATCATCATCTAATCAAAAAGCATCAACTCTATTTGCTTTCCGACGTCCATTTGCATGTGAGTGGAATAGTCTTGTGTTTCGGTCCCCATAGACACTCTAATTCAACCTTGCTTTTTGAGTCCCTAGCAGAGCTTCTTGGGACAACACATTTTCTAGTTCGGTCCAAATCTTAGCTTGAATTTCTTCATAGTAAGCTATATTCCATCCTCTTGCAATAGCTTTATTTATACCATCAAGCCAACGCATAAGCTTCTTTTTCCTGCCTTCAATATTGCCGAAGACTTTCTTGTTCCAGGTATAGCAAGCGTCGCTGAATTGTCCTAAGTTATGTGTCTATTCGAGTCCTTCTTTCCACTGCTCTTGCACAAACACGTCAAAGCTATCGTGAAGGACACAAGAGGCAATGAACCTAAAAGGTCGTTGGGGTTTGTCAATGCCATGATTCAGTTGCAATAAAATAGGCCTATGATCTGACTTACAAAAGGGGAGGTGAAAGACCTGAGCATTAGGGAATTTCTGGCACCAAGCCTCATTAGCAAAGAAGCAATCAAGTAAGGCTTTAGTGCCACCCCTCTTCCAAGTGAGCTTAGGTCCTGCAGTGCCAAGGAATACTATATTCAAGCCCTCAAACCATTGAAAGAAATCACGATCCGAAGAAAGACGGCTAGGGGTAAAAGAGCATCATTCAGTACTGAAAAGTGTCGTGTTGAAATCCCTCCCAAGTATCCAAGGTGCTTGAAGGTCACTGCCTATACAGGTGAGTTTGTTCCACAGCATTCGCCGAGCCACTAGATGGGGGCTAGCATAAATGACAGTCATAAACCACTGTTCATGTTTACTGTTTTCAACTTTTAAATGAATAAACTGACGATGTCTCTCTAGAACCATCACATCTCGAACACCTGCATTCCAAAGGCAACATATACCTCCGCTATAGCCTTCAACACCGATGTAAGTGTAATCCTGGAACCCAAGAGTGTGGATGCTTTTCTCCTTTTTTGGTTATCTGCACGAGTCTTGACTAATGCAAGAAAATCCAGGTGGTGGTGTTTTTTGATTTCTTGTATCAAGTTGGGAAATGTCTTCGAGCCTCTTCCTCTAGAATTTCATATCATGTAATTCATAGGAAAACAATATCAAGGTTTTGTGAGGCATGGGTGTCCCTCACCTGACCAATATCCATATCTGCCACCTGATGCTTGCCATGCATAACCGCAGCATGAAGAACATCGTTATTCAAGTGCATAATATCCACAGACTCTGAATTCGGCTCGGTCGCATGGAAGAGGCCCATTTCCACGGCTTCTAGCCCATTAGCACCCTTACCTAGCCCTTGCTATTGTCTACTAGACTCTCCTTCAAAAGGCCCAACCTGGAGAGAAGCAAAGGGGTTGTAGTCTGATATGGTCCCTGACAGAAAAGCTGCCCCTTCTTTGCTTTTTATTTTGCCCTTGGTCAAAACATTTTCCTTGCCACGTGGTCTAGATTTGTCGATAATTTTCCTTTTAGAGCCAATAGTGACCCACATGTTGTTATTAGATAATTCATTGCCAAAGATCCAGTCTTTCACGCTAACCCCCGAATTCCCCTCATTTGTATCCTTTTGTCCTCCTACTGGCCGATATACCCCTTTGGTTGTATCCTTGTGCCTGATCCTCAGCTGATTCTTAGGCTCATTCATGTTCCTAGTTTCCTTTTATTCTGCCCTTGTGTGATCGCTATCAGATCTCTTCTTCTCTGCCCCCTACTATTACTGCTCGATCCTACCTTTTCTGTGCTCCCATTAATCCAGAAAA